AAGTCCTGCATATATATTCAAGGCATTACATATAAGCCAAAGAAAATCTTTAAGTAGAGTTATAGAAAATGAAACCGATCTTAAAGTCTTAATAATGTAGTATGGTATCTTTAAATTCAAGTGCTTTAATATTTTTACGGTTTGTTATTTTTTAAAATGTTTTATTCAGTTAAACGATATTTGAGTTTAATATTTTTTTTTACCTTCACTTACCAATATATAAAATATATAGTAAGGGCAAAATTTTCGAATCTGAGTTTTCAACGGAAATACATGTTTTGAGGTCTCCTGAGTTTAAATAACGAAATCCCGCAAAATGGTCTATGCGTGCGTGTGTGTGTGTGTGTCTGCATATATGTGACAGGTCTAGCTCAAAAACGAAAAGTCGTACGAAAGTGAAATTGCATATTTAAGGTTTGTATATACCTCAGATGTTACAGAAACCTTCGTAAAAACGCCCCACCGGAAGTGGCACTTTATATATTCCATAAAACACATTTTTACCGTTTTCTCGAAAACGATTTTGATTAAATTCATTACACCAATGTAAAATTGAGCAATTTTATTATTATGTAGGTGTCATTCTCATTGATGTTCTCTAACGGAGCTTAAATGGCTAATTTTCGATATTAGCTTCCTCTAAAGTACTTTTATTTTTTTTATTTGAAAGAATTAACCATTTCACATTTATCTCTAATATAAAAAATGGTTAAATATAAAATATGAAAGAATTTGATAATTAACAAAGAAGAGATCGTAATGGAGAATAGTTGTAATTGAGGAACCAAAGGGATACAAGAGCGCGCCCGATGTCACCCATTTTCATTGGTATTATTTAATATTTAATTGTGTAGATTATAGTGATATAAATATTAAAATTTGTCTACCTAAGAGTACTTAAACAAATAAAAATATCCACAATGAAATATAAATGAATGTAGTGTTTATAATTTTTACTTTCACTTTCTCTTTGTCTGAAAATATTTGTTTCTGCTAAGGAGATGGTAAGCGAAAATCGTGTGATACGCGCTCCGCACCACATTTTTCAAATTGATAAATTAGTTTATTATAGTTATAATAAACAACATTATGTTAAAATGATTATTTTATTTATTATTTGATTAGTAGGGATATACAGGATGTTTCGTAATTGTACGACACTATTTTAGGTATTCGTTCACTAACACTAAATAAACAAAAAAGTTCATATTAACATATATCTCAAATTCATTTATTAAACAGATATCAAAGATTAAAGATTTATTATTTATTTACTACATTAAGACTAACTGTACAAAGTTTAACGTGTTAAATATGTCATAAGATGTTTAATTTATCACTATAATTATTGTCCACGTCACAGATTATTATATTTCAGAATAATAAAAAAAAAATACTAAATAATTGGTTTTAATCACCTGATAAACAAATGAACGATAAGCAATGACAGTAGTTGCTCATCTGTTTGTCTTGTTCTGTGTCTTTTAGTGTGAGTGAATACTGTAACACAGTTCAATTTATGATTATCATGGGAGGCAACATAAATTTATTCACTTATGCAGAACAAACAAACACGCCTTTAACTTATGGCGAGGTATATAGAAACGGTGCTGCTGCTGTTCGAAGATATCGTCAAAAATTTCCTAACCGAAGAATACCAAATCATAAAAGGTTTGAAACCATTGAAAGACGCCTTAGGGATAATGGCATGCTAAAACATATACGATTAAACGCCGGTCTACAAAGATTTCGACGAACTGCAAACCTTAAAGAAGAAATACTCAATTCTGTCCAATTATTTTAAATGTGTCACAGTATTCACTCACACTAAAAGACACAGAACTATACAAACAGATGAGCAACTACTGTCATTGCTTATCGTTCATTTGTTTATCAGGTGATTAAAACCTGTTATTTAGTATTAAACACGTTAAACTTTGTACAGTCAGTCTTATTGTAGTAAATAAATAATAAATCTTTAACCTTTGATATCTGTTTAATAAATGAGTTTGAGATATATGTTAATATGAATATTTTTGTTTATTTTGTGTTAGTGAACACATCCCTAAAATAGTGCCTTGCAATTACGAAATACCCTGTATACATCCTCCTTGCACAAGCGTAGGGGCCTTGTGACATTACTTCCTCACATAGTACTGCACCCCAAGACCTATATATATACCCAAGGTTATATATATATATATATATAATATAATATATATAAATATATATATATATATATATATATATATATTTCGGTTGGTGCTTCAGACCATGCAGAATTTTGTCCGCGAGATGTGGTCTCCTAGACCACATCACGATTCCCGATTTAAGTAAACGGGGGTAATGTCATTAGTCCTACGCCCGGTCGGTGTGAGTTGCTTCCAGTAGGTTGATAGATCTCACATACCGAGGGAAGGGATCTCGGGCAGCATGGCTTTCCCTGGTGAGCGGTCACCCATCCAAGGGCTGACCACGCTCGGCGTTGCTTAACTTGGTTACCTTTTGCAAGCGCTTTAGCCTGCTCGGCTATCCCTTGCAATATATATATATATATATATATATATATATATATATATATATATAAACTAGAATACCCCAGTGAGAACTCACATGAGATAGCTATCCTTCCCCATAATGCATTCGACGTATAAGCGACACAGCGAAATGTTTATTCGTTTATATAATACGATATTATCAAGATAGCCTATTGAGTAAGCAATTGGAAAAGCTTCAAAGTTTAATACATCTCTCAAAGTACCAATTTACTTAACAAGTAATTGCCTTGTCCCACTGAGAAGAGAAATGTCCCTCCAGTTTAATAGTTAAACAATAAGACATAGATATCCCTGAACTTTTACTAATCATTTATTGTAATCGCTCAAGGCCTATTTGTTTGCTGTAGAAGATCCTTGATCTTACTAAAAGTACAGGTATCCATACATTTACTAGATGTATGGAAGCTATACCTAGATATATTTTTATTTATTTAAAAAATTAAAAAGATTTTTCTATATTATCCGAAGTACCCAAGGGCTCATAGTGCTAAACTGCTCCATTCATCATTTCAACAGATTTTTAATTCTTTGAATACTATATTAAATTGCAATATTTGTTTTTAAAACCAAAGATGCGATAAGTTTTTAATGTAAGAACTATTAAACGATTTCCAATAATTATGATATATCTATAAAAAAAAAAACGAGGCATTGTTGGGCTTTAAAACGCAGGAAAGTTCTGAAGTCGAATCGCTGACTTTTGAAATCACTTGAGTTTCAATTATTATTATAGTCAAGATTAATTCACCAAAGACATAGCCTTTTAAAATCCCCTTTAAATGGTTTTAACGAAAAGAAATTCTATTTCCATTTGATGAAAAAAAAATTATCTTGTACCTATGCTACGAACCAATTTTTTGAACTAAATTGAACATTTTTTAGTTGTATCTTCTATTCAACCTATTAAAAAAAAAAAAAAAAAAAGGAGACATTTTAAAAAACATAAAACTTAAATTTTCTGCTTTTCTGTGAGAAATCAGACCAGGATTTATATAAAATTTTTGTAGCTTTTGTAGCTGCTATCACCTGTTTAAAATTTTCTTTTTACTTACGAGACACCCCATATAATTGTGCTGTATTACTTTTATAGGTCGTTACGTCGATTATGGATGTTTTTTTATTGACGTTCAGTCAAATGGGAATCAGAAAAGGGTAGGAAGTTTAAAATTGTAATCGAACATTTTCTGATTTAATTTATAACACTGACTGCATCAATGCTTCAAGAAATATGTTTTTGTCTCTTTATTTGAACAAATAAAAATTGTATTAAACAAAAATAAAAGAAATTTATTATTGTTAACAAAATATATAGAGTTTACCATTATTAATATTCTTATTTAATACCCGATTATTCTTTATACTTTTTCTTTGTCCAAGGCATCCTTTAGGAGCTTTTGGAAAATAAAGTGGTCAGACAAAAGAGAAAAAAAATGCTTTTTTTTATACTTGCAGGAAAAATTTAAGGAGGCGAAATTAAAATTTAGAATCAGCACCTTAAAAACAAAAATTTACTAATTTTCATAACTTCTCCATATCATTCATGGAAAAACCACAATATGACTGGAATATTTTTATTTTTTTTTCCGGGAATATTAAGCTTCGAGTTTATAAGTACCAAAACCACTTATTTGCAGTTAAAACGTTTAGCGCACTCTTTGTATTAATTTTTTCTATTAATTATGAAATAAATAGTTTTTAATGACATTGTAGGTCAAAAGAAAAGAATATGGAATTTTCCGAAATACCTAGTTCTGCCATAAATACTATTAACAGTGTTGAACTTCGTTTACATCCTTGGGTATTATTTAGATAATCCTTACCTCTATCAGGTTATTTTCTTTACATATCAGGATAATAATTTCAATTAGTTTGTATTTTTCTTCCGATCAGTTAAGATGGAGTGGGGTGATAAAGAAAACCAAATAGCTGTGATAGCCTTACACAAAGTTGGTAAACCTTTGGGTATCAGTCGTATGTTCGTATACCGCACTATTAGTAGATATAATGGGACCCTACTTGTATTTGATAGACCTCGACCGCACTACAAGAACGGCAAATGCAGTGAGAGCAGTGGCTGCTTGAATCAGAAGAAATCCCATTCGAAAACAACAAATCATGTCTCGGGAAATGGGAATTTTTGTCAGATCAATGTCTCGCATAAGAATGACAGGACAAAGGCTAACCACTATCCTAAAAAAAATTAGATTCGATGGATGCAAAATGCTCCTTGGCCATGACACCAATGTTCTTCATCGAAAGATTTTGTTTAGCGATCAGAAAATGTTTACAATTGAAGACAAATTTAATCGCCAAAATGATCTTGTGTACGCACAGAGCTCTAAAGAAGCCCAAGAAGTCGTTGGAAGAGTGGAAAGAGGTCATCACCCTTCCTCAGTGATGATTTAGTGGGGAGTTTGCTTTGATGGCATCAGAAAGCTCCACTTTTGTGAAAAATGAGTTAAAACATCCGCTACAAACTATCAGTGTGATATTTTGAAACCTGTTTTCAAGCCTCTAAATGATACTCCGTTTGGAGGAAGTAATTGAATCCAGCTCGCTAGGCCAGGTCAACTCAGCAATGGCTGCAAAAGAACATTCATCTCTGCCTCGGATTGGTCCTCAGGAAGCCCTGATCTCAACCCACTTGATTATCGGCTTTGGTCCAAACTTTAGAAGATGGCATGCCAGAGAGCACACCCTAAATTGGTTAGCCTCAAACAATCTTTGGTCCAAGCAGTTGAGCGCTTTCCTCAAGGAGTGCTGCGTGCTGCTAATGATGACTGACCACGGAGATTAAATGCCTGTGTCAAGGCAAAAGGGGGATATTTTGAGTAATTTCTTTTACACTTTATAGATGTACATTTTATTTTCTAATAAAGTTTTTGAAAAAATTAATATTTCTCTTAAAATCTGTATATATATCCTTGTAACAATTTTTATGACAGGACTAGGTACAATGACATTCCAACAAGCTATCAATAGTTCATGTTTACTCTAGGCTGGCTTAGCTTCAATTTATTTTCTTAGGAATCTCTTTAAATACATTATAGGAAAATAGTTAATGATTGTGATAACTTAATAAAAATTAATGGAAGGTAATAAATTGCTTCTATTTTCACACTTCACTAAATGACAAAAAATTCCATTCCTCTTTTATGACAAAAAACTTCTTCTATCCTAGTTTAGTATTCATTTAGTTTTTCTTACGCTGAGATAAAGTACTATTTTGTTTTATTTATATATTTTTTATGTTTTAGAACAATCTGATGAACGGCATGTAATGGCATTATTGTGAACTCGAACATCACTCGTGCCATCTATCAGCAATTACAGGAGTTAGCTGAACCAACTAGCGCTCCGAGAAAGGAATCGGCGAAACTCTAATGGTGTATTTAGACATTTCCCAAACTGTGGGACAAACAAATATATAAATGGATATTTCACTATGTTAGTATTTTTGTTTCTTGTTTTTGATATTTTCTATCGAGAAATAAAATAAATAGTTTGGTTTAGCAATAATTTTGCTGTTAGTTAAGTTGGATAATTGTGCTTTCCACAGTTTAAGAAATGTATGAACACCCCTTAATATGTACTTATTCATCTCTTATATGCGGGGTTTTAACTTTATTGAAAAAATTCAATTTTTAGGTTGGGAGGGATAAAAATGGGAAACAACCAAATGTTAATTTGAGTACAGTTTAATCTATTTGTTTGATAATATTAGTAAAACAGACATAAAATGAGTAGTTATATAGAATATTACATATTATTTTATATATTATTGGGCAAAAGGGATTTTTAATTTTTTTCTAAGGTATAAAAAGTGAAATTTAAAAAAATATGGTGGAAACACTGTGTATGTGTTGAATTTTTAACATGTACCTACTTACATGATATAGTTTTAACTTAAAAGTAAAACAAATTTTTACAATGTGCTAAATATTCTTTTTCAACAAATAGAATATAAAGTTAATTACCACTTTCCCAAAAAAACAAAAAGGAGAAAATACATTAACAAGGCTCAAGCAAATTAATATAAAGGACTATAAACAAAAACAAACAAACAAATGGATATGAAACAGTTTTAATGTGACACACAAATAATGAATTTGTAATAAAAACAAAATTATAACATAAAATCTGAGTATCTTTAACAACAAAAACTGTCGGCAAAGCAAAAAATTTTTATAAAAGATAACAATACTATAAAACTGTCAGAATTTTATTTAAGTTTAAATCTTAAAACTATGTTTTAATATGAGTAAAGCAATACAGAAAAACAACTAAAAGGAGACTATTGTGGTTGGAAAATTACGCTACACCATCTTGAATTTTTAAAAAACATTTTAGTTGTTAAGATACATAGTCAGAATTTTTTCTAAAAAAAATGTCTAAAAATATTAAATTTATTATTTAGTTTAACAATGTACATTAAGTTTTAAAATGAAAGGGGCACAACTTAAATACCATTTTTGAATCAGTAGTATTACCAGGATCTGGGCTTATGTTATTAGAATCTAGGATGGGATACAGGCGTTTTAAGATGAGTTTTTCCAGGATTTTGCCCATAATGGTTAAAAGAGAGATAGGACGGTAAGAGGATGGGTATTCTAGCGGCTTTGTGGATTTCGGTATCATTTTGACTATGGATAGTTTCCAAGAGTCAGGAAAATATGTAGTTCGGAGTACCGCATTATATATATAGGTGAGGAATAATACGGCTTTCTGAGGAAGCAGTTTTAGGATCTGGGATGTGATTAGGTCATGGCCAGGAGCTTTGCGGGAAGGTAATCTATGAATGATATTGGATATTTCTGAAGGATGAAATACTTTAGGTGGAAGGGTCAATTGGAGTGGAATATCGAGTTCTGCTTCAATACACTCAAGGTGGATTGGATTTAGGATATCTGGGTGTGGATTAAATGTTTTGAAGAGGTGTTGAGCAAATATTTCAGATTTTTCTTCATCAGATCTAGACCAGGTTTGGGTTTCGGTAAGAAGTGGGTGGTTAAAATCTTTGAATTTTAAGAGCTTTTTAGTGGTCAACCATAGTGATTTGTCAGTAGTTGTTAGATTTTCTGTTAAGTTAAGTAAACTTTGGATTTTGTATTTCCTAATTTCAGCTTTTAGTTGGTTAGTTAACTTGTTGTAATATGACTTGTCTGATGGGTATCTAGTCCTATGCCACTTCGATCTTGCTCTGCGTTTTTCCTTTAATAAGATACGAATGTGCTGTGGCAAGTTAGTCTGTTGGGAGTTGTTATTTTTATTGGTTGATGTGTTATCATTAATTTTGTCACTTATAGATGAAGTAAGTACCTCTACGGCTGAGCCAATGTCATTTTTCGTCTTAAGTGGAATATTTAGGTCCAATTTATCTTCCAAGTCTTTACGAAATTTGTCCCAGTTTACTCGTCCTGTGATAAGTGAAAGAGAAAAGGAGGGCTTAGAAACAAAAGTTGAGTGCATTGAAAGCAGAACTGGACTATGATCTGACGAGAGGTCATCCAGGGGTTTGATAGTGAGGTAGGAAGAGGAAATCTGAGAGGTGACAAATATGTCCAAGATATCAGGTCGTTTTTTGAGGGAGGTTGGCCAATAGGTAGGATTCATAGGTGAGAGGATGGAGTAACTATTAGAAGTTGAGACAGAAGATAGTATATTACTACGGGAGTTGGATCGAAGTGAAACTAAATCAAAAATATGTTCATGTTGGAAATTATACAAATGTGTCCTACAGCAAGTTAAAAATTTAAATTAAATTAATAAAAGACCATTATTAGACTTAGAATGAAGTCATACATCCTATTAAAAAAAATAATAAAAGGTCCTTGAAATCTTAGTTTTTTCTTACTTATATTATTTACAATTGCATTAATGTAACCGTGTAACAAGGAGCGATTTACTTTTGGTATTATTGTTTTTAAAGTCTATTTTCATATGCTCTATTTTATTTATTGTGTTATACCAAATTTATTAATGAATTTTTATAGAATAGAAATTTTTTTTTGTAATATTATATTATTTAATTTTTTTAAATTAATATCTAATTTTATTTATGTGTGTTAATTTAATAGTTATATTTATAAATTACTTTGTAATAATCAACAGGTTATTCATATTTTAGATTGATTTGAGTACAAATTTAGCAACCAATTATTTAATTTTTCATTCTAGGTCCACTATATGAATTATTGAATTATTGGAGGAAGTTAGTTGACTGTTCTACATATCATGGGTGATATGTAACTAGTAAGGTCACTAGTAAAAACTTTATAATGACTGCGTCCTGAATATTTATCACCCATTATATGAATTATTGATTGTTTTCTATGGATATCTCTATTTCTAAATATTTAAGTTTATTATTAACTGTTTTTCAATTGTGAATTGCAATCCGTGATTATAGCTATTATTTGATATCTCATTGGATTGGTTTCCCTTTTCTATTAAAACAAATTCTTTTTATATTACTTAATTAGCAGAGAACACTTTTATCTTTATTTGTGTTTGTTAGTTTGTTAAGATACTGCTCAGATTAATGAACATAAGTAATCCCATTCTTAGTCCACATATTTGTTTGTAGTGATTAGCAATTTATTTAAACTAATTAATACTAGTCAATAATTTTACATCCTACATTTTACATCAAATTTTTTTTATGGGTATCCACTTTTGGCCCTATGGTCCATCCAAAGCTGATGTTACAAGTAATTAATTATCTGTCTCAGTGGGACTCAATCCTTGTCCCAGAAGATAGGAGTGTTCCCTCCCTCCCTCGTTTCTCTCTAAATTACATTTACATAAAAATTTTTGAGAAAACAAATGAAACATTGCATAAAAATCGAGTTATTTTATGAAATATTCCATGTACACATATTTCCATTTTAAATGAGAACCTTGATGTGAAATTCAGGGAAACTAATATCAAATTACAACCACATATTTAAATTTTACTTAATATTAATCCCAGAGAAAATTATGAGCAAGTTCAATTAATAATTAAGGTTGGATTTAAGAAAACTACACTACGGTGACATTTTTTTTTTAGGAAATGAAGAATCAATTCGTTGAAAATTAAGAACAAAATTGAATTTATTCAGAATTCAGGATTGCCTTCATGATATAACATCATGTTATATAGATTGACCAGTTTCTGTAACATCATCATCATCCGTGGCGCTACAGCCCAGTTTGGACCTTGGCCTCCCCAATGAGCCTTCGCCATGTAGCTCGGTTTTGTGCTGCCGCTCTCCAGTTGCGGACATTCAGAAGTTCCCTGGAATCCCTGATGATAGCATCCTCCCATCTCAGCCTTGGTCTGCCTCTTCCTCTGGTCTGATGCAGCCTACAGTTCAGCAACTTACTGTAGTACTTCCGACCTCTATCCTCCTCCTCACCGAACTGCTGCGTTTGACAAATCCTTTGCAATACAAGCCGCCTCCCTCTGGAATTCCATCCCAGCTGATATTCGACACGCTCAATCAGTTTCCTCGTTTAAACCACTCCTCTTTAAGCACCTACTCCTTTCTCAATCCGAATGATTGTGAAATATATCTTAGAGAAATATCTGAGCACCACCAGAGACTACCTCAATTTATTAAGGTTATTTTAGTTTCTCATACATATGTACAATTTACTTGTTCTTTTTTTTCTCTTTTCTGTATTTTTATCGTAAGTCAACTTTCATTGTAAATATACAATTTAATTGTAGCCACACAGACATATAATCTGTATTCATATTTTGTTCTTAAGGGACAACAGTCCCAGAATAATAAAACATTTTTTTCATTTTTTTCATTCAACTTCTTCAGGATCTCATCCGCTTGCACCCTGACGACATGGCCAGCCCAGCGCAGCCTTCCCAGCCTTATGTGCCACATCACGTCTCTCTCGCCGGACAGCTCGTAGACCTCCCTGTTGGTTCGCCTCCTCCAATTTTTGCCTAATTTGACACAACCAAAAAATTTTTCTTTTGAAGACCAAGATCTCCTTTTCTTCAGCACTTGTCAGGGTCCAGGCTTTCGATCCATAAGTGAGGACTGGCCGGATTAGTGTCTTGTAGAGCTGGCATTTGGTGCGGCGAGTGACAGCTCAACTCCTCAAGTGCTTCCTAAGTCCAAAATGGCATCTGTTGGCCCTTCACAAGGCGCTGGCTTGTTTCCAGGGTGATCCTGTTATTGCTGCTGACCACTGAGTCTAAATAGGTGAACTGATCTACACATTCAAATGAAAATGGACCCATCTTCACTTCCCCTCCAACAGTAGCCACTTCACCAGTTCCAGCTCGCATATATTTAGTTTTCTCTTGTTTCACAGTCATGTCCATTGCTTCTGCTGCTTTAGCTAGCCTCAGAAATGCCTCCATCAGTGCCTGAAAGGATCTCGCCACCAGGTCCAAGTCATCGGCAAATCCCAGCACCTGTACCAGTCTGTCAATGATTGTTCCAGAGGTTTGTATTCCAGAATCCCTAATTACCTTTTTGAGGGCTAGATTAAACAAGAGACACGCAAGGCCATCACCCTGCCTCATCCCCCTACTGGACTCAAAGTTTCTGTAAACAATCCTTCTTTTCTATATAATAATAATCTTATAGATAGCTGCAGTTATTGTGCTTTGGATTTTCCTCTCAAATCTTCCAATGCTTTTTTCTAGGTGGCTGATTAGTGTCCAGGTCTCTAAAATTTATCAAAACTGGTTTTAACATAGCATTGTACACTCTCAAGTTGTGATTCTAAAAGATTTTGCAAATGGAAGTGGGTAAGGAATTCCAAAACTAGGTAGCACACATTATAAAGGATTTCTTAAAATAAGCAAGTTTGTGTGTTGGGATTTTGTCCTTAGAGAATGGACAGAGTAACAAGAAATAGTTAAATCAAGATGTTAAGTAGTTTTTTTGAATGTAAGAATTTGGAAAAAGAATACACCTAGGAAACATTGCCATCAAAAAAACTGTATAGAGGCACTTCAACTCGGCATATCAACTGTAGACAGACCTGGGAGCGCCTTAAGGCTCCAAAGATAAAACTAATGAAACAATTCATTAGTCTCTTCAATCTAATCTCAAGCTCACTAGATAGTCCATCGTATATAAAGCAACCATAATCTCAGTGGAGAATAATAAGAAAGGAAACTAGAACCTGACAGGTTTTTAGGGGCACAGAATCATGGAATTTCTGCTGTTTGAAGAAAGCAATAGATTTTTTGATAATTTGGGAAATGTGATTATTCCAGGACAGGTATTGAACACCAAGGTTTCTAATGAATGTTTGGAAGGTGGAGTAGGAGAATAATAAGAAATGGAGTTAATGAAATGCTTGGAACCAATCAGAATGGCTTTGGTATTATCAATGTTTGACCTCAAAGTAAGAGTTTCAATATGATTAATTATATAAATTTGTAATTTATGGTATTGATGAGAAGCCATATCTTCATCTACTGATAAGAAAAAAGCATCTGCTGTATTAATAATAATAATAATAATAATACTTTATTTATTCTGGGACGAGTCCCTTTAGAATATTAGATGTGTGAACTTCAACCTTTTTAAAATTGACTTTACTTATGATATATTCGAACTTATCAATGATTGATTTGAGAAATAAAAAATTAATATCTCTAAGGTTTTCACTTAATTTATATGTTATCATTTTTTTTTTTTTTTTTTTTTTGTCGTATTAAGATACAAACATTTAACCTATTAGAAAACCATCATTGATGGAGAAGATTGTTTGGATTGAATAAAAGAAGAAAAAGTAAGTCTTATATACAAGAAAGTTTTATTTTAAATATGAAATAATTGTACACTTATAAAAAATGAGATGTTACTTTTATTTTAATTTATATACAATAAAATTATGATGTAGTTATTTTCCATTCAAGAACTGGTTTACTGACTTCAAAGCTGTTATTGGAATCTGAAATAAACAAAACAAATATTAATTTCTAATTTATCATTAAATTAAAATGAATATTACAAATTTAATATTTTTCAATTAAATCTTAAGATATATTGAAAGATCAACTTTCATATTTGAAATATTTTAAAAAAATATTACATACATTTTAAAAATGTTATATGATACTGATTTTAAAAACAAGAATAATAGAAAAAAATATATATAACTTTCATTTATAAGATCATTAAGTTAAAAAAAAACCTTTAACTTAAGAGATGATTTAATAAATGTCACAACTTTGCAAAAAAAAAGTGAAGTATAAAAATCATTCGGGTGAAGTAATATTAAAATTTAATTCATGGACATATTGAATTTATTACATCATGAAAAGTGCCTTTTCAACAAAAAAAAAATATTATTTCTTAAATTTACACACGAATGGTATTAAATATATACTTTATACTGCATGATAAATAATAGCTCATGATAAAGAGGATGAAATGCAGAACAATTCCCTTCTTTACAGTATGTAGGTCCGATTTTTAGTTTTTGAGATATTTTAATCCATATGCAAAAATATTTCAATTAATCGACTCCAGTCGACTTTACCCGAGCATTAACACATCGGAAATCTAATGGCTCAATCTTATAAAATATATTTGATTTTGTAGTTAATGGTTTTCTAATAATTTATAGTATATTTTAATCTCGAAAGCCTCAGCAAGATATATTGAACATATCGCCATTGTTAATGCAAAATGTTGTATGTAATTATTTTGCATGTTTATTCTATTTGTGCTAAAGGTTACATTTTGTAGTCTGCAATTGCAATAAGTAGTATGCTATTACAGAAAATGGCAAAGGGTAATAAAATGAAATAATACATAAATCATAAAGAAATAATCAGTTTTATGATCTTCTCTAAATAAACTCAATTTTTAAATACAACCATTTGCAGTAATAGTAGCAACATGCATAGTTACCACTTAATTGGTCACACTGTTTTCACTTATTCCAATTCGATGAAGCAAAATTATTCTATGGTGTTAGATATAAACTTAGAATTTATGGACTTTTCTTTATTTTTTTTAATAACGGTAATTGCAGAAACAATAGTACTTTTAGAGATAATTTTTTATAGTTTTATTTGGCATGTGTTTATATTTGGTAGTTGGAGTTCATGTGTTATAAAGATAAATTGTGATATTGTGGTTGATTATGAAAATAAATTTTTTTTTCTTTTTTAGGAGAGAGGGTACAGTACTTCAATGATTTTGGAGGTACTAGTTTAAGAATATTTATATATATGCTGAATGCACATTGAAATGCTTATGCGTAATAAAAAATAATATCTTAGACAACTGAATTTATTAAATGACCAAATAAGAACAGATACTCTTATAAACTGTTTACTGAAAAAAAAAAATTATAAAATGACTTTTTTAAAAATAAAGCTTCATAATATGAATTAGAGTCCCAAAAAAGAAGTAAAAAAAAATAATAATAACTTCATTAACAGTTCTAGAAGTTTTGGAATACTTCATCATAGCTATCTATCACCTCTTTCTATAATGCAGTGAAAGGAGTTTCAGCAAGCCTGTTCAACTAAGACTCCTAGCTTCTTTCTAATAATTAAAAATTAATTTAAGAGGCATTGGAATTTATATAACAAATTGCATCAGTACTGTTTTTTAATAAAAAAATCTCGAGAAATTAATGTACCATTTCCTTATTATCACTAACATAATAGTACCGTAATAATTGGAAGTGCATCTCTGAGGAAATTATTGCAATTACTTTGAAGTAGAGAACACTAAAGATATGTCCTTTCACTTACATTAAAAACGGCATCGTAGTTCTTGCGAACACCTACTGACGCGTGTCCTCCAGCAGATGCAACTGCGCTTGCGTCAGATCCTGCGTCCGCTCTTGCGGTACCATCAGCTCCGCCTGCGCTGGCTCCTGCAGATGCGCTTGCTCCAGCGTGCGCGGGGCCGCTTGCAACAGGTACTCCGTTGGCACCTCCTGCGACGTAAACACGCTTTCTCACTCCTCCTGAAACAATGATTGTTTTAATACAGGAAAGAACTTATATCTATGAGAAACCTATCTATAAAAAGGCGAAGGCAATGAGTTTGTTTCTTTGAACCAGCTAATTTTAGGAACTATCAGTCCGATTGGGGAAATTCGTTTTTTGATACAATGTTTATTTATGAAGAAGATATCTTGTCACAAGAAGAAGAGAATATAAACTATTTATTAAAAAAATAATAGATCATTATGAACAATTAGGCCTCAAAATAAATGACAACAAAACTAAATATATATGGACGAAGGAAGAAGAGAACTCCGACCCAACTATATCCAACTTAAGTAAAGTAGAACAATTTTGTTATTTGAGATCCATAATCGAAAGTAATGGTAGAACAGAAGCAGAAATCCAAAAAAGGATTACAAATGGAAAAAAAAATAATGATAAAGCTTAACTCTATTGGTCCGTGATACAGACCCCTTTTTAACAAATTATAAACAACCGCCTGAAATTTCGTAAATAGCTTCATCTCATCGTAACCTACAAATATGTTATTTACGAAAATTCTCGAAATCGGGGCGTTTTCAATCTGGAGGTCGGTTAACTTTGTGAATTTAATAATTTAATTAGGTACCAACGAATCGTAAATACCCATCTGCTTTTCGCTTGAATCGTAACATAATTTGAACACAAAGTCGAGAAAAAAAGGTGACCTTCAAAGATTTTGAGCTGTTTGAAGTGACCTACATCCCCAAATTGTCAAAATAACGAGATTATATAGGCCCAACGCCCCAATTCCCATATTTTTCGTAAATAAAATATTTGTAGGTTACGATGAAAATATTTACGACGTTTCAGGCGGATGCTGATAATTTCATAAAAAGGGGTCTCTAACACGCACAAAATACTCTGGAGTTAGAGATATTTCAATAAAAACTAAAAAGATAACATGGCCCCTCAGTATGATGAAAAAATGCCTGTCATTTAATATGGCTTCTTGGAGCAGCTAGGATATCCAGAATTGAAAGGGTGAGAAACACCCACTATTAGGGAGAGATTGGAAATAAAATAGAATTTCCTAGGGCTGATGGAAGAAAGGAGACTCAGACAGTACGGCCTTGTGAGACGAACGGATGACAATAGAAACCCGTGGTCAACTCCCAGAAAACACGATCCCGTGTTTCCGACCTTTATATACCTTCCCATAGAACTAAGACATTTGAATATTCCTTTATTGCCTGATCCACTGCCTTCCTTGCCATCTGATATTCGCCATGCCCCTTCCTTGTCCTCATTCAAATATCAACTCTACCAATTCCTTCTCACATCCCAAAATGGCATTGTACAATGAAATAAATATTGTTAAACAGATTTTGACTGAGATGAATGGTTGTTCAAAATTTTAAAAATCAACCCATGATTATATTATTTTATTTTTTACCTGATTTTGGTTTTTCTTTTCATTTAAATAATGTTTTGTTTTTTTCAAAATGGTGTTATTTTTTATTTATTTTAATATAATTTCACTGAAGATACTGTATATATTCTTTAATATTGATAATGTAATTTTGGGCCAGATGTGGTTTTTATTTTTTTGTTCATAATTGTTATTCATAAGAGACCTCCTCCCAGAACAAAGTTTATTTTTTATCTATCTATCTATCTATCTACATTACTAAAGATAATTATGGATTGGGAAGCAGAGGCTAGAAGAAGGAGAGGAAGACCCTCAGTTAGATGAAACGATTAAGTGGTGAAGATTATGGCTGGTAGGGGAGTGTCAGAAGAGAATGCGATGGATTGGCAGAGATGGGGCATCTGCTGAGGCAGAACTTTGGTTGAAGAAAGCATTTGCCAATTATTCTACTTTGTCAATATCATATCATTATTCATAAAATATATGTTTCATTATATATGCTACAAAAAAAAAAGATAAAACTAAATAAAAATCTGTTACCTTACCATTAGCATTGAGATGGCTATTGACAGACTGGAGGATGGAAATCGGAATCTGCAAATTAAATTACACATATATTTAATGATTTTAAAATAGTATACGTTTTAATTTTTGCAAAAAAATATTAATAAATAGACAAAAGTACATACCCATTTTTATCAAATTATAAACACTCGTCTAAAACTTCGTAAATGACTTAATTTAAACACCCACTTACTTTCCACTTGAACATAAGATAATTTTATCAGAAAAACGGGGAAAAAAGAAGCCTACAAAAATATTAGACCGTTTGGCGTGACCTCCACCCCAATAGTCAAAATAACGAGCTTAAGTTGGCCAAATGGGCCAATATTTTTGTAGGCTACCTTTTCCCCCGTTTTTTTTTTTTATCAAATTATCTCACGATTGTAGTGGAAAGTAAATTGGTGGTTATGAGTTTTTAGTGCCTCATTAAATTGACAAAATTTAGCGATCTCCTAATAAAAAACGCCATATTGTTCGTTAATAAATAAAGTTGTATATCAAATGCACATCTCATCCTACCTGCCTAGTTTTATTTAGTTTATTACAACGTATTCCATTTGCCTATCTTATCATATATTCACATCATTCTACATTAGTTATTATTACCCATATATTAAATAAATCATTATTAACTATTATATGTTGATGACTCTGATGATGACCCACAAGCTTGGGTTAAAAAGTTAATAATAATCTTAAAAACTGACTTCGCCTTGAATATCCGCCATAGTAGATTACGATAAGATGAAGTCATTCACGAAGATTTAAAAAAGTATTAATAATTTGATAAAAGGAGTTTGTACACTTTTTTTATTTATTTATTTTATCTCCCATTCTTGCCTTATAGGCTACACGGGGTTCTTCCCGGGGTGAGCAGAGGGCGAGGAATTATGCCGAGTTAAAAGTCCCAGCAGGCACCAGGATTTGAACTCTTAATTATTTTTCCATCTGAATTTGGTTATCAGGTTGCCGGGCAACGGACACACGCATTAGCCCGCTCGGCCACCCCGTCCCCTTAAAGGGGTTTATACCGCCAACCAGAGGAGCCTAGAGGGGATTTTTATGGAGCGAATTGCGCCATCAAAATTTTTCAGGGGGCAAATTTCGACGGGGTTATGAATTTTTGTACTAAGGAGCAAGAAGAAAAATATAGAACATACCACAACAAGTGTAATTGCATATGATCTACGATTTTCATAATTTTACCTTAACCTGCTTTGTTTTTAAGAAAATATGAGCAATAAAAAATCTTGGGAGGAGGGGGAGGGGATAGATTCTTGTGCCATCGACTTGGGGAAGAATGGTCACCCCTGCCGCCAACTACAAATTAAATCAAAGTTAGGTGATATTACATTGAAAATTCTGTCGAAGAAGCCCGTTCCGTGGGCGGCACCAGTTCCAGCACCTGCTGTAGCTCCTGATCCTGCTGTAGCACCTCCTCCAGCACTGGCACTAGCACTCGCAGAGGCTGATGAGCTGCTTCCACCTCCAAGACCTAAACAAATAATTCTTGAATAACTCATTCATATAATAATACCCTATTTTTACGACGTTATATTTATTACATTTATGCTTAGTTTATTGAATTTAATTACATCGACATGAAAAAAAAAGGATTGCAGAAGGAAAAAAAGATCATGTCAATGGCTGTACTCAATATTATGGATTATAATCATCATTCCTGAAGTCAAAAGAATTATATCTAAAAAGAAATACAAACTAATGTAAATTCTAACCTGGTTTATTTCCTGCAGTTCATTAACTTTTCAAAGTTTTTGTAATTCCTACTTTTAAAAGTACTTCATGTTGCTAAGTACAGATATATAAAAGTATACATTGTGCATTATGACTTTTGGGCGATCTTAAGAAATAACTTCTGGCAACAGAAATGGATTACTGAGAACTAATGGAGAGAATATCCAGAATAGGTAAACTAAAAAATTAAAAAAGAAAGCTTGAAGGAAGATTGTCATGGAAGGTGTAGCTTTGAAAAAGGAATAGAAGAAGAAGAAGTCGGCCAAGAAAAACTTTAAAAAATGAAATGGAGACATGCTTAATGGAACGTGGTCTACGAGATAGCCTTGGGCAGAAAAATATGGTAGGAGGTCTAACAAAATCTAGGTTAAGGAAACCCATTGCTTTAAATATATAGAAAAAATCTAAATAAAAGAATTTTTATCCTCTACATTTTCTTCCATTGAATTTGGGTTTAAGCTTTCTCTTTTTTATGATTTCCCAGTGCTTTTCAGTATTTAATACATAGTTTATTTTTGTTTCTAAATTTTTGGTCGGGGACTCATTGCAGTTTATATTTATAAGACCTAACTCCTGTAGAGAATCTGTTAGCCGACGTTGAAGCGATGGTCTCAGAATGTTCGGATCGGAACGGTAGATGTATTCGATTCCCACCTAGGTAAGTTAAAGTTTATTTCATAGAGGTTCCGAGAAATGAATCTGGACACTCCTACTCTGCTTAGTACGAGACGGTAACTTCTGTATTGTCGTTAGGGGTTGGCAAAAAGTACCACTTGGACCAGTTGTCGTACGACTCAGGGCCGGATTTAAAAGAAATTATCAATACTTATTTATTTATTTTTTAATTTGGTAACCCTACATGTATCGTCTATAGGATCCTCTTGAGCATTCTAAGAAGAAAATAAGAATTTTTTTTTGTAAACATTTCATAGTATATTTTATAAATGTACTTCTGGAGGAGTATAAAGCATGGGGTGTGGAGGTGAATAAAGAAAAGAAATTATATAGCATTTAACTTTTATATAGTAGTGTTATCTATAGAAAATTGGGAATTAGAAAGAATTTAAATATCTTGGTAGATGGTGAACGCAGGATGGACATCATGGAAAAAATGACAAAAGGAAGGCGGATAATTCGAACCCTAAATTTTCTATTGTGGAACATGCAGGTAAATCTACAAATAAATAAAAGGCTATACCATTCCTTTTTGGAAAGCGTCACTCTATGTGGATCTGAAACGTCGATGCTCACAAAAAAGGAGGAGACAAGATTGCTATGGAGATGGACTTTTGGAGACGCTGTTGTGCCATTTTCAGAATGCTCATCAAGAAACAAAAATATTGAAATGGTATGACTATTTACAATAAATAAATTTATTAGGATTATAAAATCATCCTGGCAACCTGCTCCTATATTCTTAAAGTTGAGTAGAATGCTCTCAAAATAAGATGCCAACTTATTGCAACAACGTTCAAAATATTTAAGTAACAAATTAATGTAAGCATTTCTAAATGCTAAATACTCTCTAGTTATTGCTTAAACATTATCTATATACGGAGTGAGTCAGTTAAAAAATTGAATCAACTCTTGAAATTATTAAATATGAAGGGAAAGATGTCCTTGACCAGCGCACTGCGCGGCGTTGGTTTGAAAAATTTAGCAGAGGAGATACGACGTTAGAAAGGAAGAAGGGCTCCAGGCGAACATTAATGGATATTTATGAGGCGTCACTCTACTTGGATCTGAAACATGGATGATCACCAAAAAGAAGAAGACAAGGTTGCTATGGAGATGGACTTTTGGAGACGCTGTTGTGCGATTTCCAGCGAATTCTAAACAAAAATATTAGAGCGAATGTACATCAAGAAACAAAAATGTTGAAATGGTATGGCTATTTACAAAGAATGACCAGAGGACTGATGGCCAAAATTGACCTTTCTCTATCAACAGATAGAAAGGCGAAAAAGAGGACGACCTAGGAAATTGATGGCATGGTTTACAGAGGTCTTCGATAGGGAGACTGGCTAGATAGAAAGAAGTGGCAAGAGCATTCAGGAACGACAAACAACTAAGTTTTAAAAAAGTCGTAAAAAATTTTGTATAAATTCTCATTCCTTTGTCACCGATAATTATTATTAATATAATAGAATGATAATATTAAAAATAGATCAAAAATACTTCTTATACGTATTAGCTGTAATGTTGGACTTACCAGCTTGGGCAGTTCCTTGTGGTGCCTTTGCTCCCGCATATAACCCGCCACCATCAGCAGATCCGCCAAGACCTATAATTAAGAAAATGGAAAATTCTAATAGAAACATACATTTTTTTATATTAATTATTTTATTTTACGCATACATTTTTACTTATATGAATTACAATTTTCAAATTCTGGTATTTTTTTTATAACTAAACACGTAATTTAAGTCTCAAAAAAAGTTAAACAAGTTAATCATTATGAAAAAAAAATTATTTATAAATCGATTAGTTTTAAGAAATATCCACTTACCAGCTCCAGCGGAGAAGGGACCAAAAGATGCGGATGCACCAAGAGAGCCGCCAACTGTGTTCGGTATATCAGCCTATAAGATGAAAAAATATATTATAAATTTAAAATATATGTATATATATTATAAATCATATTACTTAAAATATGGAGTTTTTTTTTTTTAGTTAACAAACAAATCGTTAATGAAAGATGTGCTGCAATAAGGAGGTAGTTCCATTCAACAAAATTAAATTATGAATTTTTTCAATTTAAATTTTTTAGAAATATAAAATCATCCTGGCAATTTGCTCCTCTATTCTTAAAGTTGAGGAAAATGCTCTCAAAATAAGATGCCAACTTATTGCAACAACGTTCAAAACATTTGAGTAACAAATTAATAAAAACATTTCTAGATGGTGAAAACTCTCTAATTATTGATTAAACATTATAAACATTATCTATATACACAGTGAGATAGTTAAATAATGGATGTATAAAAAAAAATTGCTGTTTTATCAAATTCAAGATTTCAAAAGACTGTAAATATTTTAATCCTATTCAATACTTAATAATCCCTTTAGAACATTCTCTAGGCTTGTTTAATCCCATTCGACTTCTTTACAAAAAACCTCAGTTTATTTATTTGTTTCATAGAAGAAACATGACACTGTCCTACGAAATTCTCGTAATTTACTGGGAAAAAAGTTTCACAACCGCTAAAGCAACTCGTGAAATTATTAAATATGAAGGGGGAGATGTCCTTGACCAGCGCACTACGCAGCGTTGGTTTGAAAAAAATGGTAGTGAAGATACGACGTTGGAAAGAAAGAAGGGCTCCAGGCGACCATTAATGGACATTGATGAGGTTCAGCAGAAAACTGATGACTGTTGACTTGGCAGAGAGTGTGATGTGCAGAAAAATACTGTAAGTCGCCATCTACTCTCTATGGGAAAGATAAAAAAGAGCAGTAGACTGTTCCCTCATGAACTTACTCCTCAGTGATCACCTAAGAGGTTAGAAATTTGGGAATATTTATTGAAAAACCCTTGCCTGAAAAACTCCTGCCTCATCCATCATGTAGTCCACACATCGCACGATCGGATTACTACTTATTTAGATCCACGGCCCATTTTCTTCAAGGGAAAAAAATTGATAATTTTGCGGTAGTTTAGTGGTGTCCTAGAGTTCTTTGACAGCCATCCCAAAGAATGGTATCAGCGTGGGATCGAGGAATTAGCTAGCGGATGGCTAATGGCGGTAGATAACAATGGACTATACTTTGAGTATTAATTGTATTTTATATCAAATAAATAATAATACAAATATTTGGTTGAAAAGTGGTCATTTGTTTTTATACACCCTATTACAATATTGTAAAGGATAAATTTAGTCATTCTGTGGCTGCTTATCCTTTATATTAGAATTATTTATATCCTTTATATTAGAATGAAATGATGAAGATTCAGATTGAAGATTTTTGTACTACCTGTATATCTCTTCTAAACGAGTGTCATTAAATATGTGTATTTTGCTGATTTCGAGGATGGTTGGAAACATGTGGAATTTTGTTGATGATTTATTTCAGGACTGACTTAGTCTCTTTCTGGAATAGTTTAGTAACATATAGAATAAACCGTTATTCCGGCATTGGAGTATATACAAGGACAACAAACAACCATAGGCTTGTTATTTCTGTTTTTACTTCATAAGATTACAGGAAATGATGGAAATGAATCAGAATTATATTTTATGTAAGATCATATCTCTTCTCACAGCATTATCTCGAATTTTCTTTCCTTATTTATAAACCGGTTCGATCTTATTCGTAGATAGATGTATACTGAATAGAACATCTCACTTTTCAATTGATTTACAAAGACATTCTGAAATCTACTTGATTACCGAACTTGAACAGGGATTTAATTTAATGTTTAAATCTCTTTAGAACCTGTTTACAGCTGAAATTTTGGAACATCAAACATATCTAGTCTATTCAAGTTTGAAGTCTTTCGACCAATAGACAATGCTTTATATTATTTTATCGGAAATAAGACCTTACATCGTGACCTCAATATCTTGTATGTTCTTGATCTTATTTCACAAAAATTTTCAAGCATTCATCAGATTCTTTTTCATCGTTCAAATCCTTAATATAATCCCTATTCACCTCTAAACACCTCTATGATCTCCCAACATGGGTTTGGAAGTTCCGTGAATCCTAAAACTTTTATTTAGAAATGGACTGATTCTCCATTAAAATTCTATGCATGTGATTATACTGGTATAATTCAAGTCTCACAAGTTTGCAATTCAGAGAGATGCCCTGAGCTTCTCCGGATTCCTTCCTTCGTACCTGGAGTAAAAGCCAGATTTGAATCACTTGACACTCTTAACTTAAAATTGTTTCATTATTTTGATTTATATTTATTTATTTTTCTGTATTATTGTATTACTACTTGTTGCAAAATATCTAACAATCATATACACAGGATATGATTAAATTTCCGAAATATATTAAAGAATTTTTTTGCTAAGTGAAAACATGAGAATGAGGAAATAAAACTTATAACTTTATTAGTAATTTTATCCGTACTTAAATGGACTTCAAGATTCCTCACGCATTATTTAATATAATTTAGTGAAGGCTTTCATGACAGTTTTTTTTAATGCAAACAAAGAAGAAGGAAGTAAAGAGATTGTTAGGAGATATAAAGATATCTCAGGTTTTGAGATTTATTTGTCAACCTTGTGCGGATGAAACATAGCAATCCGTTTCAATGTCAAGGAATACTACACGGCAATGCCATAGCAACTTTGTCCATGACATTAAATACTCTCTCTTTATCCGATGTTAAAAATATTCAGCTTAAACAATTATATTTATATTAATTAAAGTTTTTATTAGTGAAGTTTCAAGAGCATTTGAGGCCATACATAAATTTTAAAAATATAATTAAAAAAACAATCCAACTAAATAAAATGGGAAATTGTATCCACCCTGAGGGAATGTACTTCTATATCTACTGAAACATCTGGATATATTGATAGAGAAATTATCGTCTACAAATATTTAAACTTGGTGTAGTGGTCGGGTTCCTTTCACTACACATTACAGCTCTAGGCAGATATATTTCGTCCCATGTATCGGTCCATGTCTACATCCGAAAGAGTCTTGATGTGTGATACGAACCCGACCACTACACCAAGTCTAAATATTCGTAGTCAATTTTCATATCCATCTACGATGATGTTTCAGTAGATAAGGAAGTATAAATTTTATTGCTTAGGATGGATAAAATTTCCCAATTTCTGTAGTAGATTTTTTTTTAAATTATATTTTTTAAGTTTTTAAAAGATTAATAATTCATTTTTAAAACATTCAATTTTATGACCACATGATATCACTTAAAATCAATTAATAATCTAAATACTTAAACTATAATAAACATTTCTTTCAGTATTTTGAGCTCAAATTATTCCAAAAGATTCACGAGATCTAACTGAGTAATTACAGCCGTCAAAGTTAAAAATCTATCATGTCATCCGCTGAAAAAATCTTTACGTACCTTTTAGCGGATTGGTTAAACACACTTTACAAAGTAATTTAACAGAATTTTGAGCTCATATTATTTCAAAACACTCACGGAATTTCGCCGAATAATTTGAGCCATTAAAAATCTTTCCAGCCATTCGCCCAAAATAGCATTACAAAGCTTTTTGCAAATTGAAAAAATACATTTTATTAAATAATGAGTCAGTATTTTTAGTTGAAAGGATTTCAAAATACTTAGGGGATCATATCGAATAATTTGAGCCATCAAACTTAAAAAACGATCCAGCGATTCGCTCATAAAAGCGTTACATAGCTTTTAGCGGACAACCCAAACACATAACCCTCGTTTCTCTTCGCTTTGTCGGGCAAAAATAAAAACAATACTTGTACTAGTGCTGGTGGAGTTTAAAATAGCCTGGCACGTGGATTGCTAACACCTGACGGCTACGTTGAGGTTGCCGCCACGTACTTACCAGAGCGGGAATGTCAAGATACATTTCCAGGCACCGACGAGAAATAAATATTATCCGATGTTATCGAGCTCACAACGTTCAGAACCGGCGTTCTCTGGAATCCATCTTTCAACGTTCTCGGCCATCACATCTTCTAGTAAAAATAATAGCGTTCTGGTGAAATTTAAAAAAAAAATAAAGAAAAAAAATATATATATATATTATGCAATTGCAGCGAATAGATCAATCCTGGACCCTATCGGTCTGTCTCACTTTTGTCAAATCATGTAACTAACTCCCCTTGCTACAGGCCAGCATGACCCTTGGCCTCCTGAGTTATTTTTCTCCACTTCTCTCTGTCCTGTGCTACTCTTTTCCAATTGCGAATTCCTAACATCCTCGCGTCTTTCTCCTCTTCATCCTTCCATCTGCTTCTCGGTCTTCCTCTTTTCCTCTTCCCACTGAAGTGTACTTCCAATATTTTCTTTCATACCCGTTCATTCTCCATTCTGACTACAAGTCCTGCCCATCTCAGCTTAAATACCAGGATATAGTTAGTAATGTTTTGATTCTATAATATACCCTCGATTTCATTGTTACTTTTAACACTTGTAGCACCGTAAATCCTTCTTATTATTTTCCTTTGGAATACGTTTAGCTTACGGAAATTCTCTTGCGATAGACACCAGGTTTCCGCTCCATGGGCTACTGGTATAGTAAGGGTTTTATACAGCTTTAATTTTGTGGCTTTTGTGAACAATGAATACTTGAGAAGTTTTATGTTTGCATAGTACGCTGCCATTATTTTGTTGTTTATTTCTCTGCTGATCACATTTTCATTATTTAAGGCAGAACTGAGATACACAAATGTGGGTACATTTTCGAACTTAAAATTCTTTATTCTGATTTCACTGTAGGATCTTCTACTTGCTGCCGAGGACAGTTTCAGCTATTTAGTTTTATTTTGATTGACCACAAGCCCTACTTTGTTGCCATTTTCTTATATTATCTCAAATGCCTTTTCACTTCTGGTAGCTATAACCAGGTCATCAGCGTAAGCATAAATTTGTCTTGATCTTTTTTTGTTC